TCCAGAGCCAGGTTGGTGTAGTGCTTAGGAGCGTGGCCTCTAATCTGGGAGGACCGGGTTTGATTCCCCACTCCTCCACATGCAGCTGCTGGTGTGACCCTGGCCCAGTCACAGTTCTCTCAGAGCTGTTCTCTCAAGAGCAGCTCTCTCAGAGCTCTCTCAGCCCCACTTACCTCACAGGGTGTGGGGAGGGGAAGGATATTATAGCACTGGAAACAGTGCAGAAAAGGGCAACTAGAATGATAAAAGGGTTGGAACACTTTCCCTATGAAGAAGGGTTAAAGCGCTTGGGGTTCTTTAGCTTGGAGAAATGATGGCTGAGGGGTGACATGATCAAGGTTTACAAGATTATGCATGGGATAGAGCAGGTAGAGAAAGAAGTACTTTTCTCCCTTTCTCACAATACAGGAACTCGTGGGCACTCCATGAAATTGCTGAGCAGTTAGGTTAGAGCAGATAAAAGGAAGTCCTCCTTCACCCAAAGAGTGATTAACACATGGAATTCACTGCCACTGGAGGTGGCGGCGGATACAAGCATGGACAGCTTCAAGAGGGAATTAGATAAGCATATGGAGCAGAGGTCCATAGGAACTCTCAGGCTGGGGCAAGTGATGCTCTGTATTCTTGGTGCTTGGGGGGGAGCAACAGTGGGAGGGCTTCTGAGAGCCAGTTTGGTGTAGTGGTTAAGTGTGCGGACTCTAATCTGGGAGAACCGGGTTTGATTCCCCACTCCTCCACTTGCACCTGCTGATGTGACCTTGGGTCAATCACAAGCTCTGGCACAGCTGTCCTTGAAAAAGAGCAGTTTCTGTCAAGAGCTCCGTGTGCGTACTCTAATCTGGGAGAACCGAGTTTGATTCCCCACTCCTCCACTTGCACCTGCTGATGTGACCTTGGGGCAGTCACAAGTTCTGGGACAGCTGTCCTTGGAAAAGAGCAGTTTGTGTCAGAGTTCTCTCAGCCCCACCCACCTCACAGGGTGCCTGTTGTGGGGAGGGGAAGGGAAAGGAGTTTGTAAGCCGCTCTGAGACTCCAAGTGAAGGGCGGGGTATAAATCCAATCTCTTCTTCTTCTTCTCTTCTTCTTCTGGAGTTCTGGCCCCACTGATGGACCTCCTGATGGCACCTGGTATTTTTTGCCACTATGTGACACAGAGTGTTGGACTGGATGGGCCCTTGGCCTGATCCAACACTGGCTTCTCTTATGTCTTTATGAAAGGAGCTTATAAGCCGCTCTGAGACTCCAAGTGAAAAGGGGGTATAGATCCAATCTCCTCTTCTTCCCTGAAGGAGAGTGACTTCTTATGCTAGACTATCTTCCTGAGACTGGCAGATTATACAAATGTCCACAATTAAGGCAACAAACGTCAACAGGCAAGCCAGGCCAGGGACAATGGCTGACACTGAAGGAACTGAAATTGTTAAAAGATTTTTTTTTTAATTCCTTGACTTTGTCATCAGTCAAAAAGGAGACGACGACCAAGAAATCAGGAGATCGAGCCTGGGAAGGGCAGCCGTGAAGGTACTAGAAAAGATCTCTCGGCGTAAGGAAGTGCCATTAGAGACCAATGGTCAAGACAATTCATACTCTAGTATTCCCCATTACTATGTGTGGGTGTGGAAGTCAAACAATGAAGAAAGCTGACAGGAAGAAAGTGGATTCCTTTGAAATACGGTGTTGGAGGAAGGTTTTACAGGGACCATGGGCCAGCAGAAAGTGAAAGAAGTGGGTTCTAGATCAAATCAACCCCGAACTCTCCCTAGAACAGGGGTGTCAAACATGCAGCCTGGGGGCCAGATCAGGCCCTCGGAGGGCTACAATCTGACCCACAAGGCTCTGGCTGTTTCCTGCTTCCTTTTCCAGTTATGCTGCTGCTGCTACATCACAGCTTACTTTCAAAGCCTCTCTCAGTCACACAGGAGAAATAGGAAAGCCTCTCCTGTGCGATTGAGTGAGTCTGAGGTGCCTCCCCCTCCTCCTCTCAGAGGGAGGGGGGGAACCAGCCCGAGCGCGCTTCCTGGCCAGGCTGCTTCAGTCGTATACAGGAGACATGTTTTATTTAAAGTTTTAAAAAATCTTTAATTGTGTTTGTCTGTGTCCTTTATAAAGTTTCTATCTCCGCTACCTGGCATTACATTTTATGACGCACATGGCCCGGCCCAACAAGTTCTCATTTATGTCAGATCCGGCCCTCATAGCAAATGAGTTCGACACCCCTGCCCTAGAAGCTAAAATCACTCAACTGAGGCTAGATTCGGGTGGGTGGCTGTGTATGTCTGAAGCAGCAGAACAAGTTAGAGTGCAGCGGCACCTTGAAGACCAACAAGATTATATTCAAGGTATAAGAAGAAGAGATTGGATTTATACCCCGCCCTTCACTCCCCAAAGGTGTCTCAGAGTGGCTTACAAACTCCATTCCCTTCCCTTCCCCACAGCAGACACCCTGTGAGGTAAAAGAAGAAGAAGAGATTGGATTTATACCCCGCCCTTCACTACCCAAAGGTGTCTCAGAGCGGCTCACAAACTCCTTTCCCTTCCCCTCCCCACAACAGACACCCTGTGAGGCAAAAGAAGAAGAGGATTTATACCCCGCCCTTCACTACCCAAAGGGGTCTCAGAGTGGCTTACAAACTCCTTTCCCTTCCCCTCCCCACAACAGACACCCGTGAGGTATGTGGGGCTGAGAGACCTTGTGACAGAAACTGCTCTTTTTCAAGAACAGCTCTGACAGAACTACGGCTTGCCCAAGGTCATCCAGCCAGGTGCAAGTGGAGGAGTGGGGAATCAAACCCGGCTCTCCCAGATTAGAGTCCGCGCACTCAACCACTACACCAAACGGGTATAAGCTTTCGTGTGCGTGCACACTTCTTCAGATACGCTGAAGCTACTGAACTTTGGTCACGTTATGAGAAGACAAGACTCACTGGAAAAGACAACAATGCTAGGAAAAGTGGAAGACCCAGCAGGAGATGGAAGGGCTCAATCCCCGGCCCTCAGTTTGCAAGACCTGAGCGAAGCTGTTAAGGATACTATTATTGTGTATTATTAATTATGTTTATGAATCGCCCAACCCCTTCCACAGCAGGGCTCTGGGCGATGTACAACACCCACAAAAGAAAACAAGATAAAATCAGTCAAAACATTAATAAAACATTTCAACACTCAGATGGTGAATAATTAACCGATCCCAGTTCCAGCTGCCAGCGACTTTGCGGACCGGGGGTGGGAAGAGGGTGAGGTAGGTGTGAATGGCAGAGGAGGGTGCCAGCCAATGCTCCCTCTAAGCTGTGGAGTCTTGTGAGCAGAAATTCTGCTCTGTGAGCGACTGGTATGAAAGTCGTGAGCAAGCGATTCGGCTACTGCATCAATTAGTTTGCCCTGGAGCCCTCCTTCCTGAGTTAAGAAAAAAAAATGTGTGAGCCAGAGGTTACAAATCAGTGAGCTAGCTGGCACCAACTCAGCTTAGAGGGAATGCTGGTTGCCGGTCAAGATGGAACCGTCGCGGTCCTCCACCAAAAGCCTGGCGCAACATCTCTGCCTTGCAGGCCCTGCGGAATGGCATCAGATCCCGCAGGGCCCTGATGATTATTTTTTTTTTAATATTTATATCCCGCCCTCCCTGCTTTTTGGCAGGTTCAGACAAGTTAACAACATAGATATACAATAAAACATTTCATTAAAATTACAATATAAACCATAAATACATTACACATAGCTATAACACAAGAGGGCCAACCCCTCAGATTCAATCAAACCAAATTCAGCAATTGCCGGTTACAATGAATAGACCTCAGAATACAATACAAAAAACAACCCTACCCACCCCAACCTCCCTTCTTGCTACTCCCTCCCCCAGCAAGATTAAACTACTATATTCTAGTGACTGACATTAAAGGGTGGGGAGACCTAACATAAACTAACTATTATAATTAGCTATTGTAACCTAATCTTATATAAACCTAGCAGCAAGAGCTCTCTCAGCCCCGCCTGCCTCACAGGGTGTCTGTTGTGGGGAGGGGAAGGGAGAGGAGTTTGTGAGCCGCTCTGAGACACCTTTGGGTAGTGACAGGCGGGGTATAAATCCAATCCCTTCTTCTTCTTCTCTTCCCTCCCCCAGCAAGATTAAACTACTCTATTCTAATGACTGACATTAAATGGTGGGAAGCCCTAACTAACTATTATAATTAGCTATTGTGACCTAATCTTATATAAACCTAGCAGGTGGACTAAAAGACCACTTCCCTGCCTTATATCCCAGCAAAGTCACAAAGTGGCAAGTTTACAAGTTGAAGGCGGAGCCCCAAAACTTTCACACTCCTTCTCGAAGAGGGGGGGGGCTCAATTCTACACCAGGTTGTCAATCTTCCTTTCCTGGCTCAAAGGCTGGTGGTACTTGACAGAGAGTTCCACCAGGTCGGGGCCAGGGCTAAAAAGGCCCCGGCCCAGGCCCGTAGCCAGGATTTTTTAAGTCGGGGGGCATTTAAATTTCTTAGGGGGCCCACTGGCTAATCGAATTAAAGGAATACTCGGCTCCTCCCCTGCACCTGTCGCCGTTTGGGGGCCCTGTACTGGACAGGAAGTCAGGGGGCCTTGCCGGGAAGTCAGGGGGCCTAGCCCCGAGATGCCCCCCTCTGGCTACGGGCCTGGTCGGGGACAGACGGATACCTTTAGGACGGAGGACAACCAGCAGATTGCTGTCTAAGGAGCATATCGCTCTCCCGGGGACGTAACTGAGGAGACGCTCCCTGACCGCTCAAGGCCTTATAGGTCAATACCAAAACCTTGAACTTGACTCGGTATCCCACTGGGAGCCAGAGTGTAGCCTTTTTGTAGGTTTCTGAGGTCGTTCATTCATCGGGCACGGTAAGTTGAAAGCCACCCGATGGCGCTTCTCGCACGCAGACACACACGCACTCAGCTCTTCCAAGGCTGTCTCTCTCGTCGACCGCACACACACAAGACCTGGGACCTGCTCTCGGGACAGCGCTACAGAGACTCACCCTTGGCATTGAAGCCCCGGCACTGCCTCAGGGGGTCTCCGTGCTTGATATCCTGGCGCCGACTCCTCCTGCACAGGAATAAGAGACCACGTTTAGTCCTTTCCCACCAGAGAGCCCCTTCCCCAGTCCCAAAGTGAGGGTTATTTGGGGGGTGGGGCGGGGTTTAATAGCAACACCACTTGGTCCCTGAGGTCGTCATCCCATTTTACTGCCTCGGCGTGGGTCACAGCGACCCTCGCAGAAACCGTAAAACAAAAAGCCCGGAGACCTTCATAAAACAGCAAACAGCCATTACGACACTTGAGGGGAATCCAACGCATCGGCCTCTTTCAGAGAGAGACAGACCGGCCTTTGTATGGCTGAAGTCACTTTTTACGTCTTCCCGTTCCACCTCGATTAGTGTCTCGCAAGGGTCAGTTCCCCTGTGGCTTCTTTCTGACGCGGTTGTTCCCTTAGATCAGGGGTCTGTAACTGAAGGCTCTAGAGACACCTATGGCTTCTTCAAGAAGGAAACCACATCCGCGTCCTTATAATTGAGGTATACCAGAAGGGTCGAAGGGACGCTGCGCTACATTCTAGCTGTCTCTGAAGGGAGCAGTGACTCACAAAAGCTCATCCCCTGCCACAAATTTTGTTCGTCCTTAAGGTGCTGCCGGACTCTCCTAAATACAAAACCACTAACTACGGTTTTTATGGGATCAAATGGCTTGTGAAAGATGCGTCACAGCCAGAGATCTGAATGCAAATCACGCTCAGATGGATGCCCACGTCCTGAGGCAATCACACAGGATACTCCTGAGCAGTGCTCCCTCTAAGCTGAGTTAGTGTGAGCTAGCTCACGGTTTTTTAGCCCCCAGCTCACAGATTTTTGTCTTAACTCAGGAAGGAGGGCTCCAGAGCAAACTAATTTATGCAGGAGCCGAATCACTTGCTCACAACTTTAATGCAAGTAGCTCACAAAGTAGAATTTTTGCTAACAAGACTCCACAGCGGAGAGGGAGCACTGTGTGTGGGAAGGCTCGGGCCCCCGGGCCCACCAGCTGCGAGCACTTAAAGGGGTGCTACAACGCCCAAATCAACAATTCTATAGAAGCGGAAAAGCATTCCACAGAATTGTTGACTTGTACATTGTAGCATTGTGAGCTTTGGTTCCATGAAAAAATAATTGGGCCTGAAGAAGAATCTCTCAAAACACGCAATTTCTGCCTGGGAGGCGTGTTGCTTTGATGCTTGCTGTAGCTCTTTTTGGAAAGCATAGCAGCCTGCTGCATCTCACATCAGAAAGCAAGACAGTCTACAGCACTGGAACCGGTCTCTGTAGCTGTGGACTTTTCAACTAGATATATAATGTTCTTTAGGTTTTTGTACTATAATGAATAAGATACACCAAGGTCTCTATTGTATTTAAGTATATGATTTAAATCAATATATGAAGGCACAGTAGCACAACAGTATTGTGTGTTTTATTCTAACACGGTGTTTTTCAACGTTTGCTCAACTTTACTGTGTTTCCCGTGTGTTTGTTGCAGAGCCTCCAGGCAGGGCCTGGGGATCTCCTGCTTTTACAACTGACCTCCAGCTGACAGAGATCAGCGCCCCTGGAGAAAATGGGTGCTCTGGAGGGTGGACTCTGCGGCATTTTACCATGCTGGGGTCCCTTTCCTCCCCAAACCCCACCCTCTCCTGGATGCACCCCCAAAGTCTACAGGTATTTTCCAACCCCAAAATTCAGACACATGGCCTGCAGCCACCCCTCTCCCTTCTCTCTTGAGTGTTCCCGTTTCGAGGGCGAGGCTTTGGTGTAGTGGTTAAGTGCGTGGACTCTAATCTGGGAGAACCGGGTTTGATTCCCCACTCCTCCACTCGCACCTGGCTGGGCGACCTTGGGCAAGCCGTAGTTCTGATAAGAGCTGTCCTTGAGAAAGAGCCGTTTCTGTCAAGAGCTCTCTGAACCCCGCGTACCTCACAGGGTGTCTGTTGTGGGGAGGGGACGGGAAAGGAGTCTGTAAGCCGCTCTGAGTCACCTTTGGGTTGTGAAGGGCGGGGTATAAATCCAATCTCCTCTTCTTCTTCTTTTACCTCACAGGGTGTCTCTTGTGGGGAGGGGAAGGGAAAGGAGTCTGTGAGCCGCTCTGAGACACCTTTGGGTAGTGAAGGGCGGGGTATAAATCCAATCTCTTCTTCTTCTTTTACCTCACAGGGTGTCTGTTGTGGGGAGGGGAAGGGAAAGGAGTGTGTAAGCCGCTCTGAGACTCCTTTGGGTAGTGAAGGGCGGGGTATAAATCCTATCGCTTCTTCTTTTACCTCACAGGGTGTCTGTTGTGGGGAGGGGAAGGGAAAGGAGTTTGTAAGCCGCTCTGAGACACCTTTGGGTTGTGAAGTGCGGGGTATAAATCCAATCTCTTCTTCTTCTTCTTCTTTGCCCACCAGCTAGGTGGCCGGCGGTGGGTCGAACCCCCCAATAAGCGGGTAAACCCCGCGAGACCAGGGGGTCTAGCAACCCTACTGTACAACCTTCAAGGGCAGGGAACAGAGGGAAGCAATCTTTCCCCCCCCCTTCAACGAAAATCCTGGAAGGTAAATTAGATCCAGTCCTTCCCACATATTCCCGAAAGAAAAGGAGAGATCTGTGGACGTTTCAGCCACAGGGTTTTTTTTAATTACATGTGGGAAAACATGAACATTACCAGATTCAAGATTTATATAAATAGGTGACACGGTGTTGAGTCACTCTACGCCAGAGATCCCCAGCCTGTCTGAGCCATTGGGCTCCACTGGAATTCTGACACAATGCGATGGGCGCGGTCACAAAATGGCTGCCGCCGGAGGCAGACCCAGCCTCAAAATGGCTACTGCGGCTTACCTTCGGTGACACAGTGAAGGTCCTAGTTCTGTTGCAGCAGCTGCCACCAAGGCAATGTTTTTTTTAAAAAAAATCTGCACATCTCTGTCAGACTCCTGGTCAAGAGACTCTCAATAACACTCTCTTTGGCAGTGATTGTTTATTGATATATCAGCATGATCCAGGTTAGAACAGTACCGTGTCAGAACTGAGGTTTTTGGCAGTAACCTCTACAGATATAGACAACTCAAAGGTGGATCCTCCTCCTCCCAGGTGGGGCTGAGAGAGCTCTCTTGAGGATTGCTCTTGAGAGAACAGCTCCGAGAGAACTGACTGAAGAAGAGGAGATTGGATTTATACCCCACCCTTCACCACCCGAAGGAGTCTCAGAGCGGCTTACGATCCCTTTCCCCTCCCCTCCCCACAACAAGACACCCTGTGAGGCAGGTGGGGCTGAGAGAGCCCTCTTGAGGACTGCCCTTGAGAGAACAGCTCTGACAGAACTTGCGACTGACCCAAGGTCACACCAGCAGCTACATGTGGAGGAGTGGGGAATCAAACCCAGTTCTCCCAGATCAGAGTCCGCGTTCCTAACCACTACACCAAACAAGCACTCGGCAGGCAGCAGGAAAGGTGTGTGCGGGCGCTATGGTACCCACAGGCACCACTCTGGGGACTCCTGCTCTAAGCATCCAATGGCCACGAGGAGTTAGCCAGTCAGCCTTCCTGTTCCTTTATACAAGAGCCAATCAGGTTTGCTTACACCACTGAACAAGTCCCGTCAGTCTCTGAGACTTACCTTTTAGCCGTGTGGCTGTACCGAGTGCATCGTTGCCCATCCCAAGCACAATACGGGTCTCGGGCTAGGCAGCAGTCAGCACACGCTTCCCCATATTCACGGCACCGGTGCAGGCTCAGCTGCGAGACGCCCACGTCAGAGGAAACGTACAGCTGTTGCTGCAAAAGAGAGCGGGCCAAGTCAGGCACGGGAGCTAGGAGCTGGATTCAGAGTCTGTCCCACCAATCAAAGAAGCTCATTTGTTGGGCCCATGAGACGGGGCCTTTTCAGCAGCAGCCCCACGATCACGGAACAACTTTCCCCAGGAAGCTTTCTAAAATCCAGCCAGTTTACTTTTATAAATATTAATAGAGAACAAGTATAAAGAAAACAGTCGTTTCTTTATACTTGTTCTCTGATTAGGTCGTGTTTGTCCACATTTGTCTTATAAATATTAATAGCCCACTTTTAAAAAATCTTAAATCTGACCAAATGAAACCTTAAGGTTAAGACGAGATACAACAGAAGAATAGTGTAATCTGATTGTCTGGTTGTACAGACAGAGGTGATCATAGTCTGTTTAATTTCTGGGGGATTTGGATGAGCTGTTTCACAAATGATTCCCGCACCTCAATTTTAGCCATTTGCTGAACAACTATGATTTGCAAATTACTCATTATCAACCAAGCTGGTTGCTGCTAAGACGTTTAATTCTTGACGTTACTCTTAAGATGTTCTTTATAAAATAAAACAGGAAAATTTCTGTTTCGGAAGGACTTCGTTATCATCAGTGCTTCCCTAAAAATGGTAGCGATTAACTTCCGATAAACTGTTGTTCTTTCACAATTCTTCCACACGTCGAAAATCTATAGAGCCAGTGTGGTGTACTTGTCAGAAGGCTGACCTCGAGAACTCGGGAGGCCCACGTTCAAGTCCCTGCTCAGCCATGGAAGACCACAGGGTGACCTTCAGCCAATCACACGCTCTCAGCCTAATATAACTCACAGGGCTGTTGTGAGGATAAAAATGGAGAAGAACAACTGGAAGCTGCTTCAGGTCTCCCGCTGGGGAGGACGGCAGGGTATGAATGAAGTAAAGAACTAATTATTCTTGTCCTCATGATAAGAGCAGCAAGAGCCAGAACGAGGTTTTAAGAACGTAACATAAGAAGAGCCCTGCTGGATCAGACCAATAGTCCTTCTAGTCCAGCATCCTGCCTCAAGCAGCAGAAAACCAGTTCCTCTGGAGGGCCAACAACAGGGCACAGAGACCGAGGCCTTCATAAAGACATCAGAAGAGCCTTGCTGAATCAGACCAGTGGCCCATTTGGTTTAGCATCCTGTCTCACACAGGGGCCAGCCAGTTCCTCTGGAGGGCCAACCACAGGGCAGAGGGGCCGAGGCCTTCCCCTGATAAGGATGTAACAAGAGCCCAGCTGGATCAGACCAGTGAGGGTCCATCTAGTCCAGGATCCCGTCTCACACCGGAGCCAACCAGTTCCTCTGGAGGGCCAACAGCAGGGCAGAGGGGCCGAGGCCTTCAAAAGAGCATCAGAAGAGCCCTGCTGAATCAGACCAGTGGTCCATCTAGTCCAGCATCCTGTCTCACACAGTGACCAACCAGTTCCTCTGGAGGGCCAGCAACAGGGCACAGAGGCCGAGGCCTTCCCCCCCGATGTTGCCTCCTGGCTCTGGGATTCAGAGGATTAGTACCTCTGAATGTGGAGGTTCCCCTCAGTTTTCTAAAGCTGATGCTCTTCTTCACTGCGTGGCAACACGTACCGCCAACCTACCCGTTTAGAAGATATCCACAGTGTTTTCACCGGAGCAGGAGTCTGCAGGGTGAGAAGGGGGGGAAAACACCACTTTAGAAGTTGGACGGTCGTACCAGGGAGGCCGGTCTGCCTTTGGGGTTCCCACTCACCCTGAACACCTCCACCTCTTCCAAGGTCAGCTCTTCCAGGACCCCGTGCTCCTGGGGCAGCACAATCACCTTCTGCACCGTGCCCTGGTCTGGAGGGAGAACACCAGATGTCAGCCGGAAACACCCCATGGGAAACAAACCCGTCTTCCCCACTCCCCACTCATCTATCACAAGCAGGCTTTACGCAGTGCTCCCTCTAAGCTGTGGAGTCTCGTGAGCAAAAATCCTACTTTGTGAGCTACTGGCATCAAAGTTGCGAGGGAGCGATTTGGCTACTGCGTAAATTAGTTTGCTCTGGAGCCCTCCTTCCTGAGCTGAGGCAAAAATCTGTGAGTCGGAGGTGAAAAAACTGTGGGCTAGCTCACGCTAGTTCAGCTTAGAGGGAACTCTGGACACCAGGACACCTGAGCCCTTTCTAGGGTCGCCAACTCTGGCTTGGGAAATTCCTGAAGAGTCAGGGGTAGGACCTGGGGACGGAAGGGCATGAGGAGAAGAGGGACCTCAGGGGGTTATAACGCCAAAGAGTCCACCCTCCTCCTAAGCAATGCTCCCTCTAAGCTGTGGAGTCTCGTGAACAAAAATCCTACTTTGTGAGCTACTGGCATCGAAGTTGTGAGCGAGCGATTTGGCTACTGCGTAAATTAGTTTGCTCTGGAGCCATCCTTCCTGAGCTGAGGCAAAAATCTGTGAGCCGGAGGCTAAAAAACTGTGGGCTAGCTCACACTAGCTCAGCTTAGAGGGGACTCCGGACACCAGGACACCTGGGTCCTTTCTAGGAAGAAAGGTTCTTCTTTGGGAAATTCCTGGAGATTCAGGGGTAGGACCTGGGGACGGAAGGGCATAAGGAGGGGAAGGGACCTCAGGGGGGTATAATGCCAAAGAGTCCACCCTCCTAAGCAATGCTCCCTCTAAGCTGTGGAGTCTCGTGAGCAAAAATCCTACTTTGTGAGCTACTGGCATCGAAGTTGTGAGGGAGCAATCTGGCTACTGTATAAATTAGTTTGCCCTGGAGCCATCCTTCGTGAGCTGAGGCAAAAATCTGTGAGCTGGAGGCTAAAAAACTGTGAGAGGCTCACACTAACTCAGCTTAGAGGGAACACTGGCTGGTAAGGTGTGGTGGAAATTGCCGCTGCCAAGTCACAGCTGTATTATGCCACTCCGTTGGGTTTTCAAGGCGAGTGACAAGCAGAGGTGGCTTTGCCAAGGCCTGCCTCCGCGTCACGACCCTGGTCTTCCTTGGGGGTCTCCCGTCCAAGGACTAACCGGGGCTGACCCTGCTTAGCTTCCGAGATCTGAGGAGATCGGGCTAGCCTGGGCCATCCAGGGCAGGGCAGGCTGTAATACCAGAATTAAAACAAATTAATTGATTTCTTTATTTTTGAGATTTTAATCCCGCCCTCCCCAAAGCGGGCTCAGGGCGGATCACAGAGGCCGAGTCCAAGACATGTTACAATAACTCACACGAGAAAAAATTTAGAATAATAATAAGAGATTGGATTTATACCCCGCCCTTCACTTCCCGAAGGAGTCTCAGAGCGGCCGAGTCCAAGACATGTTAAATCACATGAGAAAAAAGTTAGAATAATAATAAGAGACTGGATTTATACCCCGCCCTTCACTTCCCGAAGGAGTCTCAGAGCGGCCGAGTCCAAGACATGTTAAATCACATGAGAAAAAAGTTAGAATAATAATAAGAGACTGGATTTATACCCCGCCCTTCACTTCCCGAAGGAGTCTCAGAGCGGCCGAGTCCAAGACATGTTAAATCACATGAGAAAAAAGTTAGAATAATAATAAGAGACTGGATTTATACCCCGCCCTTCACTTCCCGAAGGAGTCTCAGAGCGGCCGAGTCCAAGACATGTTAAATCACATGAGAAAAAAGTTAGAATAATAATAAGAGACTGGATTTATACCCCGCCCTTCCCTCCCCAAAGGAGTCTCAGAGTGGCTTACAAACGCCTTTCCCCTCCCCACAACAGACGCCCTGTGAGGTAGAAGAAGAAGAAGAGATTGGATTTAATCCCCCGCCCTTCACTACCCGAAGGAGTCTCAGAGCGGCCGAGTCCAAGACATGTTAAATCACATGAGAAAAAAGAATAATAATAAGAGACTGGATTTATACCCCGCCCTTAACTACCCAAAGGAGTCTCAGAGCAGCTTACAAACTCCTTTCCCCTCCCCTCCCCACCACAAACACCCTGTGAGGTAACAGAAGAAGAGATTGGGTTTATACCCCGCCGTTCACTACCCGAAAGAGTCTCAGAGTGGCTTACAGACTCCTCTCCCTTCCCCTCCCCACAACAGACACCCTGTGAGGTAGGTGGGGCTGAGAGAGCTCTGACAGAAACTGCTCTTTTTCAAGAACAGCTCTGATAGAACTATGGCTTGCCTGAGGTCATCCAGCAGGTGCAAGTGGAGGAGTGGGGAATCAAACCTGGTTCTCCCAGATTAGAGTCCACGCACTTAACTACTACACCAAACTGACTCATATAGGTTGCAAGAGTTCCACATCTGTTAGAGCCACAGGCAGAATCCGTGGGCCCTTTCAGCAGATTGGGAGGCAGGTTGAGAGAAAGGGAGGCCAACTGTGATGGATGTCTGCCAACTGAACCAAAGGCCTGGCGGAACAGCTCCATTTTGTAGGCCCTGCGGAACGTTAAAAGGTCCCACGGGACCCTGGGAGGAGTCTCAGAGTGGCTCACAAACTCCTTTCCCTTCCCCTCCCCACAACAGACACCCTGTGAGGTAGGTGGGGCCGAGAGAGTTCTTGACAGAAACGGCTCTTTTTCAAGAACACCTCTGACAGAAATACAGCTTGCCCAAGGTCATCCAGCAGGTGCAAGTGGAGGAGTGGGGACTCAAACCCGGTTCTCCCAGATTAGAGTCCACACACTTAATCACTACACCAAACTGACTCATATAGGTAGCAAGAGTTCCACATCTGTTAGAGCCACAGGCAGAATCCATGGGCCCTTTCAGCAGATTGGGAGGCAGGTTGAGAGAAAGGTAGGCCAACTGTGATGGATGTCTGCCAACTCAACAAAAGGCCTGGCGGAACAGCTCCATTTTGTAGGCTGTGCGGAACAATAAAAGGTCCCACGGGACCCTGATCTCCAGTGGGAGCTGATGGGCAAGAAAAAAACCCACATGACAAACAAAAGGGAGTGCCTTTCTGCTCACAGAGTTAATTGTGGGATTTTCTACCAACAGCCTGAAGAGGAGATTAGACAGATTCATGGAGGAAAGAACATAAGAAGAGCCCTGCTGGGTCAGACCAGTGGTCTATCCTCTAGTCCAGCATCCCGTCTCACAGGCCAACCAGTTCCTCTAGATGGCCAACAACAGGGCATAGAGGCCGAGGCCTTCCCCTGATAAGAACCTCAGAAGAGCCCTGCTCGATCAGACCAGTGATCCATCTAGTCCAGCATCCTGTCTCACACAATGGCCAACAACATAACTTAGAGGCTAAGGCCTTCCCTTGATGTTGGCTCCTGGCTCTGGGATTCAAAGGCTTAGCGCCTCCGAATGTGGAGGCTCTCCTCAGCTACCATGGCTAGTAGCCATTGATAGATTGATCCTTCATTAATCTCTCTAATCACGCTTTCAAGCTGTTTATTCCTGTGGCCATCACTACGTCCTCTAAAAGTCTACATTTTAATCACTCTCTGTGTATAGTATTTTCTTTTGTCTGTCATGAACCTACCGCCCATCAACAGTTACTAACCACAGTGATGAAAGGGAACCTTCCCAGTCAGAGGCAGCAAACCCCTAAATACCAGTGCTAGGAGACGGCATCAAGAAAAGGCTTCGGCCTCTGTGCCCTATTTGTTGGCCCTCCAGGGCAAATTGCTAGCCACTGTGTGAAACAGGATGCTGGACTAGATGGACTTACCCGTCTGATCCAGCAGGGCTCTTCTGATGTCTTTATCAGGGGAAGGCCTCGGCCTCTCTGCCCTGCTGTTGGCCCTCCAGAAGAACTGCTTGGCCACTGTGTGAGACAGGATGCTGGACTAGATGGACTACCCGTCTGATCCAGCAGGGCTCTTCTGATGTCTTTATCAGGGGAAGGCCTCGGCCTCTCTGCCCTGCTGTTGGCCCTCCAGAGGAACTGCTTGGCCACTGTGTGAGACAGGATGCTGGACTAGATGGACTACCCGTCTGATCAAGCAGGGCTCTTTTGATGTTCTTACGATGCCATAAAAGCATCTGACCTCCGAAGCTGCTGTTTTCTCCACGGGAAATGATCTCTGTCCTCTGGAGATTAGTTGTCATTCCAGGAGATCTCCAGGCCCCACCTGGAGGATGGCAACCCTATTAAAAGTTGGAGACTGTTGCTTTGGCCAACAGAACCTGTGCATCCCCAGCTAGCGCCCTCCTGGAGCGAAAAGTCTGGGCATACCCGTGCCAAGAAAGAGCACCTCGTAACGCCCATCCACCGCGTCCACCAGGTCGACGGCCAGCGTAGTGAAGCTATAGGGGACGTTGGTCCTCACCAACAAGGGGCGGCGCTGCAGCGGGTAGACAGAATTGTACATCAGAGGGTGGTTCCGCACAAAGGTCACCAGCTCGTCGGAGAACTCACGCGTGGAGCGAAGCCCTGGGGTGAAGGTGCCTCCTGGGCACTGAAAAAGAGAGACAAGAGAGGAGTTCAGAGCCGAGAAAAACACTTCCACACAATGCTGAATAATGCACTTTAAATCCCTTTTCAATGCACTTTAAATCCCTTTTCAATGCACTTTAAATCCCTTTTCAATGCACTTTCGCGATCATTTGTAAGTGGATTTTGCTGTTCCACACAGCAAAATCCAGCTGCAAAGTGCACTGAAATCACATTTAAAGTGCATTATTCAGCAGAGGTGGAAGTGCTGTTGGACACACCCGCAAAAGAAAGGAGACGGCTACAACTCAGGGGACTACTTCAGTCAAGGAAGACTCTGAAGAATTTTGTCTATTCATTTACTTCTTTTATACCCAGCTTTCGCCCCAAAGCAATTGACATTGTTCCCCTCACCTCCATTTTATCCTCACCACAACCCTGTGAAGAAGGCTGGGCTGAGAGCAAGTGGCCAACACAAGGTCACCCAGCAAGCATCCATGGCAGAGTGGGGATTCAAACTTGGGGCCTCCCAGATCCCAGTCCAACACTGTAACCCGGGGGGTCCCCAATGTGGTGCCTGTGGGCACCATGGTACCCACCAACACCTTTCCCAGTGCCCACCAAGTGTTTTTAGAAAGTGGGTGGGGCCAGGTGGGGGCTGTTGCCCAGCAAGGCTTCTGATTGGCCACTGAGGATCTGATTGGCGGTGCAGATTTTAAAAAAATGTTCCTTTGGCAGCAGCTGCCACCACCACAGCACAAGGCTTTTCACTGTGTGACTAAATGTAAACTATGGAAGTCATTTTGTGGCTGGCTCCACCTTTTATGGCAGCCATTTTTGTGGCAGCCATTTTGTGGTGGCTCCCACCAGGCTGTGTCAGAATTCCAAAGGGGGCAACAGGCTGAAAAATAGTTGGGGATCCCTGCTCTAACCACTACGGCACATCGTAATTTGGGGGGAACAGAATGAGTGGAGTGGGAACTAAGGCATCCGTGGACTAGAAGGCAGGGGGAGGAATATTTTGGTGACTCACCGCTCCGGGACGAGGGTAGGGCACGCGTCCCGTGTACGGCCCCCACTGGTAGTTGTGCCCCTCCTTGTGGGCAAAGGGCCCGTTGAAGACGGTCCGTATGTCCGCCATGGAATAAACGCAGACGGCAGAACCCCGGAACACTGACCTTGGGGAAGGGAGACCGAGAAATGGGGAGGAAGGTTTAGGCCAGTGTGTGGACTGCATGGGCTGTTCTCTGCCGCTGAAACCCTCTTAGCTTCGCAGACACACTCACCCCAAGGTGGAGAACACCCCGTAGAGCAGTGGGTGCTTCTCATCCTGAGTCGGCAGCAGGAAAACATCGCCTGGGAACATAAACACAGAGGCCGAGGATCGTATTCATTATTCGTTTACTTATTAAAACATTTATATCCTGCTTTTCCTTGTGATGCAAGGTGGCTTATAAATAACGTTTTAAAACATTTCCAGTTAGACCCCAAAAGAACAAGAAAAAAGCCCCAAATTTCTCCCCACCCCTTCAAAGATACCTGCCAATTAAAACCCATGGCAAACCAGAGAGCCAGTTTGGTGCAGTCTAATCTGGGAGAACCGGGTTGGATTCCCCACTCCTCCACTTGCAGCTGCTGGATGACCTTGGGCAAGCCATAGTTCTGACAAGAGCTGTCCTTGAAAGGGCAGTTCTCTGAAGAGCTCTCTCAGCCCCACCTGCTTCACAGGGTGTCCGTTGTGGGGAGGGGAAGGGAAAGGAGTTTGTAAGCCACTCTGAGACTCCTTTGGGTAGTGAAGGGCGGGGTATAAATCCAATCTCCTCTT